CAGCCCTGCCCTTGCGGCCGCCACGGGATTGCGGCACCGCGGGAGCCGCCGCAGCCTGCGCCCCTCCCGGAGTGGGCCCGAGCCGGACCGCGGCCCTCAGTGACCCCCTCCCCGTGCCGCTCGGGGTCCCGCCGCAGCCCGGGGTTCCCGCAGGCCAGCCACCGCGTTACAATAGAATGGGGATATTGTCTGCAGAAAGGGCACCAGCCTGAGGAAGGAGGAGCGGTGCCATTCCCCCGGGGACGGACAGGATTTTTTTTTTTTTTTTTCGCATTGGGAAACCTACGTTCTTTAACATAGGCATCGCCTGTTGATTTCTTTCTGGGCCTTTAAATTTTTTTTTTTTCTTTAATAAAAATCTTCCTGCTTTTTGCTTGAACTTGGGAAACAGAAAAGTGGCAGCTCATGCCCGGGGTTCCTAGAGCTGTGTTGTTCTTAATAGTTGGATCAGCTACGATCTAGTCGCCTCACGGGGAGTTTGGGTCAAGCGCAGTATTGAAGAATTTAGCCCTGGGGTTCCTAAGACTGTAGTAGTCTGAGAATATAGGTCCTCTGAGCTGTCAGGTTACTTTACCCTCATTTAAATAGCGCATCCTCCAAGTCTTAGGCACCCCATTGAAGCCACCTCAACATCTTAAACATTTTTGTCAGGTTTAAGGTGAAGGTGGTGACAGACTTATTAGTGCAGGACATCTCCATTATTGAGTTTCCATCAGATTCTCATCTAACATCAAAACGCTCAGTTTGAATTTTTTGTAGGGACTGGAATGGTATGTCCAAATCATTCCTTAACTTAACTGAATACATACCAGAGTAGTCTAAAGCTTGGGCTGTGGAGGCTTAAGTAATCAACTTGTTAATTTATAGTCATGTTACATGGCTTTTGAGATTTATAAAACCATCCCCTTAAGGAAATCTGTCTTCAACGTCTGCTTAAATATTTTTATTGGAATTGGGTTTCTCAAGAGGAATGTTCTGTACAAGTGGCGATTAGCACATACTAATTAGACAAGTTTTTTTTTTTCCAAGAACATCAAATACATACAGATTTTTTAAAATTCCATTATCAGTGTAATTGTCCCTGTGATGGGAAGAAGTGTTCCCATTTTACAGAAGTAGCAAAGAAAGAAATGACATGACATTCCCAAGGTCACCTGCTGAAACAGTAGAAAGTCAGGTTGCAACAGTATTCCTGTCTTCAAGCCTTGGAGTAAACTTTGAGTATCACCTTCTGACTTTAAAATCTGCATGGACAATTATTGTTTCACTTTATGCACAAAAATTGCTCTCACCCTGTTAGGTTTTTTTTCTGTTTATGCTACTGAGTAAAATATATATTGTAGTAAGACAAATTAGTTCAGAATACATGAGGACCCAGAAGTTGTACTGTTGCACTAATTTTTACTCTGTAGACCAGATAAATAAGTTAGGGGTTTTTCTTTTCTTTGGTGTTTTGTGGTGTGTGTGTGTGTGTGTGTGTGTGTGTGTGTGTGTGTGTGTGTGTCTTTTTGAGAAGGGTTTCCTTGTAGCCCCAGTTGGCCTGGAACTGGCTATATAGACCAGGCTGACCTGGATCTCATAGGGATCTGCCTGTCTCTCGAATGCTGGGCTTAGATTAGGCTTTCAAATGGTAATTATGTGACTTTATCATATAATTCTATAAGAAAGCTCTGAAGTGCCTTTTTATTAAAATCACAGGGCATTCAAGTAGTTTTTACTGGGCACAAACTGCACTGTACATCTAAACTTCAGTGAGGGTGCTTCCCTTATTGAAAGTGAAACTAAATAGAAATAGGGGTTCTTTTGGGATTTGTTTATTTTGAGATATTGAGCATGCTTGAGGTTCTAAGCATGGTGTTACTAAGACATGATTTCTTCTTACAGCACCTGTCTGAACATCACTCATTACTCAGCCTAGGAAGAAAAGGGACAAATGACCGTCCCACAATGCCAGAATTTTCGAACTTAAAAAAATGTGGATGAGAAATACTGAAGACTTAATGTAATTAATTTAACAGTATTTGAGCTGTTCGATATGAACCACAAGATACACTTTTGCTGAAATGTTTTTGTAAGAAAACTTACTGGGTACTGGGTCATCCCAGCTCTTGGGAGGCAGAGGTAGGAGGATCTAAAGTTCAAAGTCGGCCTCTGCTACATAGTAAGCATGGTGTCTGAACAAAAGGCTGTGTGGTGGAGCCCATCTGTGATCCAGCACTTGGGAGAATCTTGAGTTTCAGCTGGCGAGTAAGCTCCAGAGAAGTGCAAGCATAGAGCAGACCATGCCTCAGAATACAGAAACATCCTGCTAGTCAATGTAGCACTTTTCACTTATGTGCAGGTAAAATCTTAGGTCCACTTGGGTGAAAAGGCTGAATAGATTTTAGGAAGGTAAACTTAACCTTTGATCATGTATTCATGGAACCTTTATCTGTTTGGGAGGCCCTAGACTAGAGGATGGTTATGGGAAGGGAAATAGAAACAGTTCTTGCCCGCCGGAGCTTAGAAGCTGTTGTGGAACACCAAGGTAAACTGCAACATAAAGAAGGCCTGGGGACAGCCCTGCTGAAGTGGACAGTGAACAATTGGGAGTGCTTCACACAGAAGGAAATGGCTGAACTAGTCTCAAAGGACGGAGTTCCCAGGCAGGGAGGACAAGAGGAAAAGGTCAGTTGTGAGAGACTGAGTAAGTGGAAGAGAGTTGAGGTAGAAACAGTGCATCTCTTGTCTCTGTAAAGCATTTGCAAAGGAGGAAATGATAGGCGCTAGCTTTGGGATGTGTTGAAGGCTTTTGTTGTAGTTTGGGAAGAGCTAATGTCAAATCTTGGGAGGGAACACTGGACGTGGGGTCTGCTCAGGGTGGTCTGGAACCACATTATTCATGCAGACAGGATCATCTGTTTTGGATTGCCACCTTGTACCCCTTGGGAAACCATTTCTTGCCATTTGTAAGGGAGGAACCTGTCTCAGATTCCTGTTCTAACCTCTGAACTCTTGCTCTCTGCTGTAACTTCCCCAGCCTCCTGAGAGGTGTCCTTGGCACTTCCAGGATCTGGCCTCTGCTCTGGCAGACTCTGTCCCTTTCTTAGGCTAGGACTCCCAGAATGTTCACTCAAGGTGTGTTTTCATCAATTAAAAATGACTTTTATGAGTGGGGCGTGGTGGTGCATGCCTTTAATCCCAGCACTTGGGAGGCAGAGGCAGGTGGATCTCTGTGAGTTCAAGGCCAGCCTGCTCTACATAGTGAGTTCCAGGACAGCTGGGGCTACAGGGAGACCCTGTCTCTAAAAGACCAAAAAAAAAGACTTTTATAATCCTGTTAATGGAAAGCATGCCCATTGTAATATAGCTAGGTTGGATCTGACTTGCTTTTCAGTTGCAGTTCTGGAGCTAGAAGCAAATCTAGCCTATGCCAGCCTATTGAGATACCCAGGAATGGCTGTTCCTGCCCTCCATTCCCAGGCTGAGAGGTTGGCGCCACCAGCTCTTACTCTCTCCAGCCATTCCAGATGTTCCTCTGCCCTGCCCCCTGGGCACTGCATTCTTGGCTTGTTTCTGCAGTGAGTCCCTCTATGACATCCTCCTCATCACTTTCCAGATTCTGCCCACCCTCACTCTGAAGCCATTAGTAGTAGTTTACCTGGAGACTTTCTAGTAGTCTCCTTAGCTGTCTCCCAGCTCAATAGGTCTTCATTTTGCTTCTGGAGTAATTTCTGAAACCCTCACTTCTCATAGCCATTCCCTTACCCAAGATGCTTCTTTGGCAGCTTATGCCTGTCCCCGTTTGTTCATGTAATAAAATGTGTCAATGTGTTTGGGGTAGATGCTATCTATGCAAGGCAGGCCCTGGGATTCAGAGCTGAATCAAACAGACATGATCCTTGAAATGACTGAACGTACGTAGCCCACTGGGGATGTAGAGTACTGACCACATTATCACAGATTCCTGACACACAATTGGGAGAGTAGTATAGGACAATGTGCTGTGACTTTGTGCAGGGAGCTGGTGTGTGCCAGGAGATGGTGAGGGCACATAGACTGATCAGGAGGGTAACATAAGGGAGGGCCAGCCAGAAGACAACAGTTTGGTACCTGTTGTCCTGCTCACAGTCATCCCTTAGGTCTCTTTTCTGGAAGCCTCTTTCCCACATTTTGATCTTAATTCTTAGCTCAAGCACAGATTTCTCTGAGAAGCCTTTTGTGACCCAACACATCCCCCCTCCCCCACCTAGCAAGGCAGATATAAGGGAAAGAACACCACTTTTTATATGTCTGTTTCCCCTGGAGGAATATATTGAGTCAGGAACCTTCCTGATTTTTATCCTGGCAGGGTGGTTAGGGGTCAGTTTGTTGGGGGTAACTAGGGAGGATAGCAAGTAAGTTAGGGAACTAAATTTACAACCCTTCCTCAGGGCTCTCTTGGGAGGGAGGCTGGTTCTGAAAAGTTGAGGAATCCTTGGATGATTTTAATCCACTGTGTTAGTGTATGTCATTCCATATAGCGGCCACAGTAACTGTTCACAGTGTCAATTTCTCTGTTTTATGGTCTCCTGAGGGAAGTCCTGTAACTTCCCAGGCCCCTAGGTCCCCTTCCTACTTCTCAGCACTGCAAAGTTGCTGAAGAAGTGAGTTTGAGTCACTCCTAAAGTGAACCTGTGTGGAGATGGTAAGAGAAGCTGACCATGTGGTACTTTGAAATTCAGAATCTAGCACTGTTCTAGCTCCTTCTGGTGTGGCCTCTGCTCCACCTATGCACCTTTGTGTTGCCTTTCACTCTGTGGTGTTGGGAGTGTGTTCAAATGATTTGTCAAACTTGGTTTCATGTTTAGCTCTGTTGTTTCTGTGCTGGAGAGAGTACATTTAGGTGTTTTAGATATATTTCAACATGACTTTCTACAAAAGTCCATTTTAGCTCTAGGACAATATATATTCGTGGACAGATTTCGGTGCTGCAGTGTTCTGTAGTCACAGATCTCTTTAATCACCATCTATAGCATTAAGTGAAACAGAATGGTCGAATTTTAAAACAAAAGCTAGCTTTCTGTTTTACCTAATTTCCTGTAGATTGAATAATTTTCTGTTGATATGAAGTATCATGAACAGTGCTAGAGAAATTTGAGTGACAGTCTCACCTCAAGGCTTGATTTGTTCCCCTGTTTGACAAGTGTTTACTAATCCTTTTATGAAGGAAAATGCTTTTAAAAAAAAAAACAAATGGAAAGAATATGATATACAAAGTACATTAAATTTGCACTTTGGAAAAGGATGAAGTTTTTAAGGAATAAATAGAACTTGCCTGAATTTTACCTGAATCACTTGCTTAATAAGTTGGCTTGGGAGGAATCTTGCCAGCCACAGAATTGTGTACAAACTGTAGGAAGTTGTTTTCCATTCAAATGACCAATAATTACCTCAACCCATCTTCTGAATAGTTATTAGCCCATAACATAACTTCCTTTCTTAATTTAAAAAACAGATCTCAACATCTCAAAAGCTCCTAACAGAATTATTTGTTAATAATGTTTAATTAGGTGAGCCTTTGGTGGCACTCGGGAGTTTTCTCTGTTTAATGGATTGCTGGGGATGACACATCCAGGCATATCAGAACCGGAAGGATCAGAAATGTCCAGAGATTTGTTTTAGTGCATTAACTTCTCTGAGAATTAAAGAGGGAGGACTGGGTAAAAGAGAAGCATTATGTTTTTACAGGAAGAAAAACTCCAGGCATGGATCGTGATCAGTGACTGGAGTCCACTCTAGGCAGATCTTCCCTGCAGGAGCAAGGCAGAGGGAGCCCTTCACTCACCTCTGTGGCTCTGCTTTCTCATTTCTCATGTGGCTGGGAGAGGATTTGAATGACACAACACATGTGAAAAGTCCCTTACATGTGTGGACTCTTAGTAATTTTGGATCCTCTTTTAAATTTTTTATTCTCTCTCTGTCTCTGTCTCTCTCTCTCTAAGAAGTCACTGGTTTTGCCATAAAACTCACTTCTATACACTCTTACTGAGGTTAGTAATAGATTTCTAGTCCAGTGTTGTATATGTGGGTGGTAATGAGAGAGAGCAAATAAGTCAAAACAAAAATTGTTGTTCCATGAGCTTTGATAAATGAACTTCGAAAAATGGTTTAAAATCTCTCTTTATCTTATTTCTAGGTAACTTTCAGATGGATAGCTAAAGAGTTTTCTTTTCTTGAGACTCAGTGTCAGCTTTGATGAGATGCCTTTACAAATAATAAGTAAATGGTTTCCATTGAAGACTTTGCAGAGTTGGCCCCCTTAACCTAGCAGAATTCTCTTCAGCTCTACCCTGTCTTAACTGGACTGAGAATGGTGCTTCCCTTTCCTGAGCCATCCAAGTGACTGCCCTTCCCTCTGCTGCTATATCTATCTGCCCCACGCTCCCTGCAGGAGCCTCAGTCTGCCTGCTGTCCCTGCCCTTCCTTGGTTCCTGTGAAGTAGGCTGATGTGTACCTGGCCAGCTCTTTCTGTGTCAATCCTGTTTTCTTCACTGGGTTATAAGGTTCTAAAGGACAGGGACTGTGTTGTATCCTCCATTAGGCCTCAAATTATTTGTTAACGAAAGTGACTCAATGTTTTTGTTCCTCAGCAAAAGGAACTGCATACCTGCTCCCTCAGGGGAAGCTGAGTATTTCATCAAATATGTCTTGTTCATTAAGAGTATTTTAACAGGCATTAGACAATGTATTTCAAGGAAATAGGCATATTTCATGAATCTCTTAATGATAAAGGAAATTGAGTGGATAATTATGTACCAAAAGTCAATATTTTAATAACCTCTGCCTTTCTCAGGTTATAAAAACAGTACATGTTCATTGATGAAGATTTTACAAGAACAGAAAAACGTAAAGGAGAAATGTCTGTGTTGTTACTTAATTTAACATTTTAGATTTAAAAAATATATACGTTCATACGAAGTGCATGATTTTTAAAAAATTAGGATGATGTATGTCCTAGTCTGCATCTCTGTTTCTATGATAAAACACTGACCAAAACCAGTGTGGGGAGGAAAGGGTTTATTTCATCTTATAGCTTCCAAGACATCGTCCATAATTGAGGGCAGTCAAGGCAAGAACTCGGGGCAGGAACCATGAAGCAGAGACCAGGGAGGAATACTGTTTACTGGCTTGCTTTCCCTGACTTCTCAGCCCCTTTTCTTATATAGCCCAGACCCACCTGCTTAGGGAGGACACTACCCACAGTGGGCTAGACACTCCCACATTAACTAGCAATTAAGAAAATGCCCCCACAGATACATCCAAAGGCCATTCTGATGAAGGAAATTCCTCAGTTGAGGTTTCCTCTCCCCAGTAACTCTAGTTTGTATCAGGTTGACAAAAACTAACCAGTACAGTGTGCTGTGAAATTTAATGGATGAATTTTGTGTGTGTTGAGTACATGTGTGTGTGCTTGTGTGTGAGGGCTAAAGGTCAGCTAATTAGGCTAGGCTGGCTTGCCAGCAAGTCACAGGAACCCACCTCTCTTTCCCCAATGCAAGGATTACAAGTGCATGCCACCACATTCTGACTTTTCACATGGGTTTAGGTCCTCATGCCTGTATGATAAGCTCTTTACTGACTGAGCTTCTTACTTAGCATTATGTAACATGGTATTAAATCAGTGAGTAGACTGATTTATTTAATTA